CATTGGCCTGGCTATTTTCCCAGGTTAATTAACAAGCCCCTACTGGATGTATTTTTTGTTTTGTTTTTACAGATAGTTCTCATTTAGCTACCACAATTGAGACCAGCAACTCGGTTAATATGTGAAGCAGTCACTAAATGAATCCAATTGTGCTTATGATCTTACTATCACTTTCCTTTGCTTTACAGATCTGCAAAGGTCATAAATATATGAATTGGTTCTAAAGTTATTTTGCCATTATCAGAATAACTGGAAATGGTCATTAAGCAAGATAGTCACTAAATGAGGATTGCCTGTATATTTGTCTTCAGACTTCTTAGGTTTTCTTTGCTCCCTCCCTCCCCCACCTTTTGTATTTTTCTTGTTTAATTGTAAGCCAGACAGTCAGGCAGCTTCTAAATTTGTATAAACAGGATACACATCAGAACCAATTTACTGAATCAAATGCACATTTCCCTACCTCTCTATTCTTGTAAACATTTTTGCTTCCACAATATGCACTTTAGAAATCCTTTTTTGTTCTTCTCTTTTTAAAGGTTTTCTCTTTAATTCCATCCATCTACAACTTTTTCACTTTTCCTCTTAACTCAATTCATTTTTCTTTCATTCTGACTACATGACAAAATTAACTCATTTCTTCTGTCACAAGTCATTAGTTATGTATTCCACATTAATTCACCCTCCATTCATTCTTGATCCTATTATTTGTTTACAACACACACTTCTTATGTACTCCATTTCCACTGTTATTATAATTTTATGGTTCCCTTGGCATACCAAATAACTTCCATATAACAAGTCAGGAGGAAACACACTCTTATACAAAGCATTTTCTTTTTTAAATGAACATTTACAATATATGTCATAATATAACACACACTACTTTTTTTTCCAATATTTGCACCTCTTAAAAGTTCTGCATCCTTTCTCCCTCTTCAGTAAATACTATACCAAGGAACATGAATTTATCTACACTTCTAGGCATATCTATCCATTTGACTGTCTATCATTCCATTTTTTTTCTGTCAAACATCTTATTTTTGGATGCATTCATATTCATATTCGCTCCATATTTTTTAATCAATCTAAAATTTGCCGAAAGCACTCAGGTTCTCAGCCAGCAATATAGTGGCATTTGCATTAAAAAATATTCATGTCCCTAACTGACATATCCCTGACCTCGCCTCAAGCATCCATGTCTTGCTCCTTGCTCATCCCTACCATTTTACAGATAGTCCTCAGTTAACAACTACCCACTCAGTGATCATTGAATGTTACGTTGCTGTCAGGGTCTGGATGGGAGTGAACAAACTTGCACTCAATCCTGACAAGATCGAGTGGCTGTGGATGTTGCCCCCCCCAAGGACAGTCCAGATATTCCATCCCTAAGCCTGGGGAATGAAACTTTACACCCCTCAGAGAGGGTCCGCAACTTGGGTGTCCTCCTGGATCTGCAGCTGACATTAGATCATCACTTGTCAG